TGAAGACATTTAAGAGCAAAGACTATATGGTAAGGTACTTCTTGAAGACATTTAAGAGCAAAGACCATATGGTAAGGTACTTCTTGAGGAACAAGAAACAAATGGCTCTCTTCTCTCTCATTAATTAGTTAGAACCTTTGTTCCATTTCAATGCTAAAAAAGAAAAAGGAAAAAAGGGAAAGGGGGAAATAGCCAAAATTATGGAACCCCAAGATGAAAACAGAACAAAACAGAGGATCTGTGATTACTGCAATGAGTCTGCAGCCATGTTGTTCTGTCGAGCCGACACAGCCAGGCTGTGTGTCTCCTGTGACAGGCATGTCCACTCAGCCAACCAGCTCGTCACCAAGCACTTGCGATGGCAGCTCTGTGACGCCTGCAGTGAGTCCCCTGCTTCTATCTTCTGTGAAACAGAGCATTCTGTTCTGTGCCAGAATTGTGACTGGGAAAGGCATAATTTTTCGGTTTCTTTGCTGCATCATCGGCGGCCGATTGAGGGGTTTACTGGGTGCCCGTCGGTAGGTCAGTTTGTGAATATTTTTGGGTTTGATGATTTGGGGAATAAAGGTTTGTTCTTGAGTGAGGAGAAGAGTAGTGGTGGTGATGGGGATCTTGATGGGTTGTTGGATTTGTTCGTTTGGGAGACTCCAACGATTGCTAGCCTTGATGAGTTGATTGTTTCCAGTGAAACAAAGCATGGATTTAGGGCTTTGGATGTTCCTTCTGTGCCTAAGGTAAGTATCCCATTTTGTCTCTTCTTTATCTCCTTCTTAGACTATGTTTGGAAAATGAAAACCATTGCATTTGTAAATAAGAGCTCTCATGTTTTAAGGTTGAAGATTTAATTATTATATAACAGTAGAAAGTTGAAGTGCAGTCACCCTAAGGAGACTGCGTATTTTATAACTATTAATGGCGAGGCAGCTCCTAATATTAGGGGCCTTTCTCTAGCTCTGAGGTACCTTTCTTCATCAATAGTTAAAAATATTACAATTTGCACAGGAAAACTGCATTACAGCATTGTCTTATCATATACCAAAAACAAAAAATAAAAAGATTAAGATTTAGAATATATTTAGTTCGAGAGCAACAAAGGAGAGGGGTCCTTTTATTTCCCTTCCGTCCCCTCCCCTCAAACCAAACACACCCCTAAGGATTATCCAAAAATATTGCAGTTTTAAGGTGTAAGTTCTTGGGCGCATGGTCAACTAAAGTTCACTTTAGTCCAGGAGAGGTTTCTCCAAAAACTTTTAGCCAAATACGTCCTTATGTTATGTTGAGATTGAAATGAAAATACAAATCATTTCATTTGGTAAATGAGTTTGCAATGAAATTCAGTGTCTTGGCATTTGCAATTGAATTCATAAAATGCCATAAATTCACTATAGTGGATTCTAATGAAGTCATGTTTGATTCCTGAAAGTTTATACTAAACCATTAAGATTCATGACAATTCTGTTGTGAATTCCCATTACTTACGGTGCATTACCATCCTTCGACTATTTTGAATTTGACAGTGTTAGTTGATACTGTTTTTGAATCAGAACCGAAATGCTACATGCGGGCAACACAAGGAGGAAATGCTGCAGCAGCTTCGTGAACTTGCAAAATCAGAACCCAACTTCAATTATGATTATGGTGAAGCTGATGCCCTTAAAGAAGTTCACTCTATAATATCTGATCAAAACCTGCATCCAGTAAATTCCGAGACAATTTCATTTCCTGGCTATAAGGTATCTTTTTACACTTGCCATTCCGAAACAATATTCTCTTATGCTTCACTGATGGATAAATGATATTGGAATGTTCTTTCATCAATATAGAAGGGTGATGATTGGTTTTTCCTTTTGTACAGTCAAGTGAAGTTAAGTGGTTTGGTGATGGAATGGAGGTTGCAAATCAGGTTTTTGTTCCTTCAGTATTAGGAAGCTGCACTGAGGAAAATGCTGGGATTCCTGATATAAATATAGATACCGGTGGCAGTGGGAGTTGGGCAAATGATTGTCAAGACGAAAAATCTCAAAATCCCATTTCTTTCGGAAATTTACCACTTTTTCCAAAGATTGGTGCATATGAGTTGAACACTCAGGAAAGAGATTCTGCAATCTCAAGGTACAAGGAGAAGAAGAAAGCAAGGAGGTAGTACTCTACTCTTTATTCTAAAGTATCACCTATTTCGTATGTATCAAGTTGAAAGAATAGCCAATGTCAACGTCTTGGCATGGTGGTGTGGTTTAGTCCTTGATTTCAAGGTGTCATGCTAAGGGGTCTTGCTTTTTTTGGTGGGTAACAGTCCAACTTCACGTCACTTCAAATTCAAAATTTAAGACATTTAATAACTTGAACTACTAGGTCAACTTTGGACCACCTATTTAAATTGCAATTATTTCTGTGAGAAAAACCAGGTATGACAAGCACATAAGGTATGAATCAAGGAAGGTTAGAGCTGAAGGAAGGACAAGAATCAAGGGACGTTTTGCAAAGGTAGAACATTAAGGAAGGTTCGAGCTGAAGGCAGGACAAGAATCAAGGGACGTTTTGAAAAAGTACAACATTGAGAGATAAATCTAAAATATATACATCTAAAATATCGACATGGTATATATATATATGTATACATACCATCTCTGTGTATGACCTGTATCACATTTTCTGCTCTTAAACCTTCTCTCTTTTTTGTATTCTTTAATTTCTCCTCGAAAAGTTCCTACAAATGTAATGTAAATCTTTATTATTAATTAAATATTATCTTATAAGTTAAATTTAAGATTTAAATTTTAAAATCAGTACTTAAAAAAAAAATTTACCGTTGTTGGCTTTTCAATTAGATTTTTTTATTATTAATTTTAAAATTTTTGGAGTTTGGGGTTTGGGGGATTTTATTTTTTTTTTTTTTTTTTTTTTTCGGGTTGCCTTTTTTCATTTAACTTTGTTTTTTTTTTCCAATTTTTTAAATTTTTTTAGTGCTATAAAAATTTTATTTAGAGATCATGTGAAACACTAGATCACATACATAATTCAGCAACCAGCAATTACATCTCACTACAATAATACATCAGAAACAGCATTGGTTGGTCTAGAAGTTACTGCTTCTCAGGGAATTTGGTAAACAAGCTGCCATAGAGGAAAACTACTACTAATATTAAATACTCTCAACAACTCTTCCCATTGGCCCCCTTAATTTTTTCCTTCTGTCTCCATGGACTTCTTGTGGAGGTTAACTATGGATAGGACCACTAGCCAGAGGAAGACAAAGGATCCGAGCAGGGACAAGATCACGGCTGCAGTCATATGGCGACAGAAGCCTTCAAACACATTGCAAACCTTGTTCCACAGCACGTGTGAGTTCCCGTCCCGGCCTATAAGTCCGACCCCAATAGCAGCCCCCTCGGCTGAGAAGAGAAACACCGTTATTATAAGGTCTAGCATGACTAATGCCAACGATGATGTGCTGTGCCTAAAGCACCGGCCAGCTACCATTAAGAATATCAGAGATGTTGCTGCATATGAACATGCTATCGCATTCGCCACAACGAAGTACCTAAACATACATTAATTGAGACATGTTCATCAATAGCACGGAATGCGATGTCACTTTTGCTTCTTGGTTTGATTCATGTTTTCATTTTCAGAAATCGAACTGAAGAAAACTTGTTTGATTATACTTACACAAAAGCGGAGAGATATTGCCACTTAGCAGTGACTGGAACTTGAACGGGCGGCAAGGTTTTGATGAGGGCGACAGATAGGACTTTGGTCTCCTTATCAACACCCGCCAGGATTGAAGCTACGAGTGTAAGCGCCAGCGCCAGTATCCGTAAACCAGCATGAGAGAATCTTACTTTTGGCCGTGAACTCTCTTCAACTACCTTCAGGTTGCTCCCTCCACCGTCCATGGCTTCGAAAGCTTTACCTTTTCAGATGGAATAAAAAGATTATAAGCAAAGAAAGAAGGATCAGTTTGAGTAGCTATAGCTAGCTGAGTCTCAAAGGAGGGAGGAGAGTATGATGAACAGAGTTTAAAGGAGTGGAGGATTGGGTGCCCTAGCTTGCACGTCTTGTAATGAATTAAATTCGTTTTGCTGATAAAAAAAAAAAAAAAAAAAAAAAA